CTCCACAGGGTATAGTGTAAACCCCTGCGTTGACTGGTTCGTGGTGCTTGGATTTTGCACTGATTAGATCCTTTATTGAAGTACTGGTAGCGATGGCGACTCTGGTGTTAGCTTGTGAAAGTGCTTTAGAAACATTCAGTGCAACCTGGCTGTTAGGAAGAATTATAACTTTGTTAGGAGTGGTGTTGGTGTGTGGGGAATTAATGATCTGAAGAGCTCCTTCCTTGCAATCTTTGATGAAAAAGGAAGGAAAATGTAAATCAGTGAAGGTTTGGTGAATGTATATACATTCCTTGTCAAGAAACTCAGGACTACAAATTCGGTATGCTCTCAGGAAAAATCCGATGATGATGCCTCTTTTGGTCTTGGTATCTTGACTGGAATAAAAGTGTGTGAGATCATTTTTATTTGTAGGTTTCCGATAAACTTGAAACCTTAGGTTATTGTCTACTTTGTGGATGAGGACCTCTAGGAAAGGTAGCTTGTCATTGGATTCTTCTTCTAGTGTAAACTGGATCGCCGGTTCAACTGCGTTGAGCCTTGCCTGAAGATTCCATACATCAAAACGTTTCGGAGTTATTACGAGGACGTCGTCCACGTAACGTAGCCAAGTGACGCTTGAAGGGATGATGTTGGCGAAGTGTTTGGACTCTAGGTGTTCCATGTACAAGTTGGCTAAGACAGCACTGATGGGGAACCCCATTCCCATGCCATAGGTTTGTTTGAAGAGTCTGTTATTGAAAGAAAAACAGTTGAAATTAACACAGAGTTCAATCAAGTCAACAAAATCTCTGGGAGGTAGAGGAAGATTAAGGTTCTGATTGACTTTACATCATAGAACCTCGATGGCTTTAGTGGTAGGCACTTTTGTGAAGAGGGAAGTCACGTCCAAACTGCTTAGTTTCTTGTTATGGATGGAGAGGTTTCGGATGCGGTTGAGAAGGTCACCTGAATGCATAAGATGACCGGGGCTGATGGTCCCCAGAAAGCAGGAAAGATGTTTGGCAAGAACTCCAGCAAGTTTGTGTGGTGCACTGCCTATACCTGACGTGATTGGTCTGAGAGGAATATTATGTTTATGGGTCTTGGGTAAACCATACATGTGTGCTGGTTTAGGGTTGCTAGGTAACAACTACAGAAGTTTCTTCCCTTCTTTAGAGCGTTTGAGTATTTGTCTGGTTTTGTATAGAAAAGTCCTTGGTGAGTGACTCCCACTGTTGAGTGTTGATGGGTTCGTATGTAGATTGATCATTTAAAAGGTCAATCATTTTGGTGTTGTAGTCACTGGTGTTGAGTATGACGACTCCACCTCCTTTGTTGGCGGTGGTGAAGATAATGTTGGGGTCGTTTACATATTGTCGGTAATTCTACCAGCTTTATGACCAGGTATTGAGTTTGTCTAAATCCTCCTGAAGTTCCCTGATATCTATGTTTGAATCAATTATCCTACCTATCTTTGTGTCATCGGCGAATTTGCTTATATCACTTGTAATTCCCTCATCATGATTGTGAGGGAAAAGTTCAACAGATAGGAGCAGCGAGCGAGTAAACTGTGACGATAGTTTGATTGCCGGCTCCTTGTTAAGGTAGGGTCAGTCTAGCTCCCGCTATCCCCTCCCCCCCTTTTTCTCCACTCCGAAAGGTGACGTGTGGGGCTCGGACCAAACAGTAATCACTTGACTCACAGCTCCCAGCACAACTGTAAGTAAAAACCTCTGCTCCTATTCTAGTGAATATATTGGTTGAAAGCTTCACTTTTGACCAATAATAAACTTAGTCCTTTCAGTCTTGAGTTCCATGTTATGCTTTTAGATAATCACCATTTCTTTTAGGTATTGTACTTATCATGGAAAGTGATTTCTTAAGCAGTGGGTAACCTTTGTCTCTTTCTAGCTTGGAATGACAGCTCGGGTCATCTGCCAACCAAAGAAACGTGTTGAAGGAGACGGACTGAAAAAAAGTCCTGAGACGTCACTTTTTGATCTACCTACCTGATTAATTGTAGGCAACAGCAGGCAACTACCCCTCATCTTTGCAGTGGTAAAGAACCTGCGTTCCTGTCATCTGGACTGACTATTCAAGGCTATAGACTCTGTTAAGAACTAGTCGTTGGGTTGTCACTCAACACCTGTAATCCCCCCATCATCAGTAACGGCTACAATTTCTACAAGACGGTGTCAACCTCAACCAGACACCCCAGTATAACTGTACATATTAGCGTTGAATTTAAATGTCATTTTTCCATTGAATTTTTCATTTTTCTTTCAAGTAGGATACACTCATGTTTTATTGTTTCATATTTTCATTACTAAATAATAAAGTGTTTATCTTCGTGAATTATTATTTCTTTTTCTATTCATTAATTTTCCTGAGGAGGAGCCAGCCTTGGTAATACTGTCTGAAGTTGTTACCGGACTGAGTAAGCCTTCACAATGATCATTGGTATATATTATAAACAACAACGGGCCCTAGACTGATCCCTGTGGAACACCACTTGTTACAGATCCCCACTCGGATTTAACCCCATTGATGCACACTCTTTGCTTCCTGTCTGTGAGCCATGGCTCGATCCATGAGAGCACTTTTCCCCCAATGCTGTGAGCTGCCACTTTCTTTAACAGTTTTTGGTGCAGTACTCTGTCAAAAGCCTTACTAAAATCTAAATAATATCAAATTCTTTATCGTGATCAACAGCCTCTAAAGCTTTACTGAAGAAAGCTAATAAATTAGTTAAACAAGAACAGCCTCTCATGAATTCATGCTGGCTATCATTAATCAGATTATACTTATCCAGATGGCTTCTTATAATCTCAGCTATAATTAACTCAGGCAATTTGCCTGCAATTGAGGTCAGGCTTATCGGGTGGTAATTTGAAGGTATCGATTTGTCTCCTGCTTTAAAAATAGGAATTACATTAACTATCTTCCTCATATCAGACACTACACCTGTTTGAAGAGATAAATTAAAAATATTAGTTAATGGTTTACAGAGT